GGTGTACCTAATAAAGTGGCCGGTGAGTGTATGTTAATACTGTGAAATCCTGTGATCTGCAACAGGGGTTGTTAAATTCGAACTAATTGCTGTAAGTCATTAAATCTTCCTCAGAACAATAAGTGTACCCTCTGAGTGATGCGACAGGATGAGCAGGTTGACACAGGAAGCTCCTGCTCCGGAGCCAAAGATGGTGATCCTCTCTGGGTCTCCGCCGAAGTGACCGATGTTCTCGTTGAGCCAACGCAGAGCCTGGATCTGGTCCAGCAGGCCGTAGTTCCCCTTGGCAGACTGGTCTCCAGTACTGAGGAAGCCTGCATGTTACACAGACAGAAGGACAAATGAAGAATAATAGTTCAGAATAAAGCATTTATTGTTCGATCAAATGAAGCAGAAAGAAAAAGGAGAATCAACATGAGTGACAGAAACTTTAAGTCTTCATTCAGTTCTTCAGGCAGCTGCTGCTGGTTCCTCCTCTGAACAGCTGATCTTTACCTGCAGCAGCTACTTGTGCTTCAGCTGACAGAAAACACTGAACCTGTTCTGTTCATCAGATCAAAGTTACAATAAGTTCACCTTTCTGTTGTTGACATTTACCTCTCCTGAAAACTGTTACAGCTCTCCGACTGTTTCACATTCGACATGAATCTGTTCCACTCAGGTGGCAGTTAAGAGCCACTCAGTGAGAGCACCTGTAATTAGAGCTTTATTAAAGAGATGAGCTCTTCATTAGGTTCACACAGTGGATATTAAACACTGAGGACCTCAGGTTGGGACTCATCAACAAACAGGAACAGATTTCATTTAAAAAAAATTCAGAAGCAAAATAAAGTCAAACAGTTTTAAATGCACTGTAATAACATTTAACTGGAAGAGAATAAATTACAAGAGCAAATAATTAATATATGATAGTTTATAAACAGGAATCTTAAAAGATCTTAAAAAATTAAAAGATAAATCCTCTGATTCAATGTCGCTGAGGAGAGAGCAGCAGGTGGGAAATAAGGCAAAGGCACCATCATGTGGGCCAAACCAGCACCTGCAGTCTGAACATTAAGGAGTTCATAAAGAAATATATAAAACCATAAAAGGTTGAAGTGCAAAATAATAAGAGTGAATGTGTTTTTAACTCTGCCTGCAGATCAGTGAGAATGTGAATTATTCAGAACATGATGCAGTTTATAATCCTGATACCAAACAACACAATACAGAACACAAAGGATTTAATTAATAAAAGGCAATTTACTAAAATTTGTAAATCAGTCGATCAATAGAACTTTATTATAAAACATGGCTCATACAGAGAAGAGTAAAAGTGTTTTATTTTGGCTGATAAATACTGCAAATAAACCCAAGGTTGATCTAAAGAAGTTAAAATAATTAAGGATATGTTGATAATGAAGGGACTGATGGCTGCAGGTTCACCTACACTAAAAATAGACAAAATTCTCTTTATTAAAACCAGAAGCTCAGATTTTAAAAGTCAGCTGATAGTTTCAGACATTGGGCCTCATGAAAGAACCGTTGGTACGCAGAGATTTGTTCTTAAGTTGTGCGTACGAGTGATTTAGGAGAATTTGTGGCATTCACCAATGTTTTCATATTCTAAGATTTTCTTCAGACACGAACAAAATTCACGAGTGGTCCAGACCTGTCGTATATTTTACGTGCAGTCAGTCTGCTGTTATCC